TTTAATATATTTACGCGCTATAACGGTTTTCTGAAACTGAGCTGCGTATTCTTCTTTGTTACCAGCGTCAAAACAAAATGATACTTCTGTTGGTCAATACAAATGCAGAACAAAGGCGTTAATTTCCCGTTACCTTAAGTTCATAGATTCATCATCGTATTCCTGATTAAAGTTTGGAGTTGTGAAGAGAATCGATTCATTAGATGAAAGTAATAGTATTGCTGATACAGTGTAATCCGAACTACACGAAACTCCTCTATTATAACGAATAATGAAGGTTGTAATGAAGCTGCAATGAATTGTTGAAGTTGAAAATGCATTACTTGACTACAAATCATTTGCTAACACCTACATTCTTGCTCTTTAAAAATATATATCCGAACTTTGAATTACATTGCAACATATCTGTACGCGTTTATTATATAATAACATTTCGAATATAAAGTTTCAATACATAGGTAACTAATAATTAGTGCATTTTGAAATGGGGTAATATTCAATTATTATATTCGTTATATTAATTTTTTATTGATATTAGTTATGAATATTGTATGCCTATATATTTAATTATATCATATTGTTTAATACCCAAGTTATTTAAAATATGCATATAAAAAAAAGAGATAAAACCAAATCGTGGCTAGAAACACGAACAAGAAAGTATACAAAGATACATTATTGCTTAATATTCACAAATAATCCTTCAATATGATCGAAACAATCTTACTCGAATCTTCAACTTATTAAAAAAAATGTTTGACTTAATTCTCCAGGGTACATTTAATTAAGTCAATGACAATTCGAAAGTTTCTTTCTTTTTAGAAGTTCAGTGAAGTATGTACAAGATAGATAGCCTTTAGTTTTAAGTTAACGCACTATAAGGGAAACTGAAATATGTTTCTGATTATTATGATCTGCCGGTGAGCTTGCTATTAAACTTAAAATAATGTGTTCATAATATTTAAAATTTTATTGTTATGATTAAAATGTTGTTGAAGAAAATATTCACTTGAATTATCTTTCTTATTACCTCTATAATTTTTTAAAGAGATCCAATCGATATTAGTAAGGTTGAAAATAATGTTAGATGTGTCAAAACAGCATTTACCTCTAAGAAAATACTGATTTAAATACTGAAGAAAGTACTGAGAAAATTTCTTTTATTTCAAGGATTGGAAATGGGATAACAGATAATGTATAGTTCTGTTGACATCACAGAACAGAAAAAAGAATCCTAAAACTCGCTTTTATTGTATAGAAAGTTCAATCATAGTTACAATAAGGCTTACAAGTTTTGCTAAAACTGCTTTGACTAAGACACGAAAACTCCAAGGTACAACAACACAATTTTGTACAAACATTTCACGTTATTCCAATATAAGATAAACACAATTCAAAGAAATTAATTGCATGACATTTTATTTCACTTTGGTACGTACTTGTATAGGTATCGAACATCATCCTTAGGCCTTTGTTTCTGGAACTATTTTTTCAGATACTAAAGATAGTACTAACATTGCAAGATTTTAAAATTTGCAACACGTGTATATATATATATATATATA